ACGCATCTAACTAAATCTATTGGTTTCACTTTAGTTGCATCCCAATGGCTTGTAAATAAATAAGTTTGGTGTTGTGCAACAGAGTTTAGTAATAAAAGTCAAATAAGAATGCGACTATGCAAACGCGAATTTAGAGCGAGCGAGAGGTTGCGAGCGATTTAGTTTTCGCAAAGGAAAACCATGCACAAACGAGAAACGAGAAATAAAGCTAGCGAGAGCGAATTTCTGGTTCTCGCACTTATCTGACAGGTTTTGATATTTATCGCGTCTCGCCTCTTCTCGCCACATACTCTCGCTCGCTCGGAAAATTAGCTCGCACGCGTCTGCATAGTCGGACCCTAACAGTCAAAAATGAACACTTACTGAATCTACCGAATCCTATAACTTGACCTGTTTCTAATCGTTTGGTACACATCATACCCATTTGTAAAAATGATTCCAACGCTGAAGGCCGAAGGTCTTTGAATACATGTGTATACTTCTTTCTTACTGCGTAATAACTCTTGAGTAGTTTCAATGCTCGTTCTCTGTCGTATTTTCTTGCTCGTAGAAAACTTAGGAGAAATATGTCGTCAGTTTTGCATTTCAGATCTTTTTCTTCTTTTGAAATATAAAAAACTATTGTTAGTTTAAACGTGCTCAGCAGAAATAAAATACAAATTTACAATTACACCTATGCATTTGCTAAAAGGACATTTTTAAATTTTCAATTGGCACAATATGTCTCAAAAGCAAACGTATCACATTGACCACAAGTGACTTTATAGTGATTGCTTTATTATTAAAATTTTATTGATTCTAATATGCGTTTGGGATGTATACATTCATTTCTCTTCAGTTGGGTACAATTTTGTATAATATTTAGTTAACAGCTAAAATTCCGCATTTACACATTTAATAAAATCAGGTACAGTAATATATAATCTAAACTTTTGTTATTTTTATTTTAATATCTAAACAGTTTTACAATTTTTAAAATCACCCAAATGTTTTACGCTAATATTCAGTTTACTAACTGGCAGCAAGTATTTGATACAAATATAGATAAATAAAATACGTATGTGTAATAAAGTATATTTACATTAAATATTATTAAAAAGAGATTAAAGACTTGTAGAAAAATTCTTAAACATAATTAACAATAAGTTCTATTATTAGTTTTATATTTCGTGCTTTTACTTTTCGGCTCTGTTATACATGACAGAGAAAAGTATGACGATCGGTAAAAAATGACTCCTTACAATTTTTCATTTTTGAACTCAGGAGATCTTAAAACATCAAAAACTGCAAAAAAAGTTTTAAGAATCATTTTTGCATTTCTCGATATTCCTATTCCTATCAGGCGAAGGTATGCCTAATCTGGGTGCAACAACGGTCACTGATTACACCGCTACAAGTAAGCTTACTTATTCTGTTTTTACTTAAGTTTCCCCCATAGAAATAATTCCAATTTCACATGTTGGAACTAAGAAGAAAATTAAAAATCGCAAGGAGCGAGAAAACAGCAATCCTAACAGATACACCGTACAAGCAGCAGCTGATGGAACAACAAAAACAATCAACAGAAGTTTCGGCACTCCTAGGAAAACGGTCTTTGTTTACCGAAAGAAATTCCTTAAAATCAAAAGTTACAGGCATCAGCAAGGGTAAGTCTATTAAGAAACAAAAATTAAATGACAAAGAATGCCACTACTGTGGAGGGTTTTACTGTGCATCTATAGAAAGTGTGGGCTAAATGTAGCCGTTGTGATAAATAGACTTACTGTCTTTGTGCCAATATTGAAGAAAATGACAGTTTAACCATTTTAATTTGTCCTTCTTGTATATAAAAATAATAATCCCCTTCTTACTTCATTGGTAAGGCTAGACGGTGCATTTACATGTTGTTTTTAAAAACGTTTTCCAAAAATTAAATTTTGTATTATATATTATGAAATGTAGTTGCTGAGAATAAAAAATTGTTGTTCTCATCAAAGTGGATACCATCTTATGACTTTTCAAGCTTAAAGTTCTCATCTTGCCTCACCTTCCGCTATAATAAAAACATGAAGAAACAGGTAAAACGACAAAACAGTGTTTGAGACGAGAGTATGTCTTGGAGATCACTACTAAGAGGAATAACTTTGCCTCTACAGGCAGGTCTCGTTCTCATTCTCCAATCTTCTTTGATATCGCTGCTTTCGGGCGCGATCGTTGGAACTTCGCCTGCCACGACCACGAAGTCGTCCACGATGCATTTTCGATGAAATTAACCTATGCAATTTCGGAATTTCTCTCCGTTGCGAGTCGGCCCAGGTTGAATTTTTGTCGATGCGTAACGAAAATATCTCGTTTTTGAAAAAAAAAATAATTGTGGCTATTGTATCGTCCGAAATTATTATTTTTATTTTGCACAAACAATATACACTTTAATCCGATTATAACGTCATTGGATCTAACGACAACCCTAATATAACGTCAAATTTTTATCGGTCCCACGATTTTATTATCCTAGATAATGTTAAAAAAATCCCACTTGTAACGACATAAAACCGTTTTAACGTCATATTTGAAGCACTACCAAACTTACAAAATCAGATTACAAATTTTATTTAACATAGAAGAAACTACGTGTTCGGTCCTCAGGTCCTTAAACCAAGGCATTTTCTTTTTACAAATTACCGTCGTCTTATCAGCATTATTGATCAGAAGTGTTATTTTCATACATTTCGTTTTTATCAATGACAAAATAAAAATACATTATTAGTCTAAACTTTCGTACTTTTCCAGGATGTGTTCGTATACCGAGTTGTTCGAGTACCGAGATACCGTTCGTTATTTTACGAATGATTGCTTACCTACAGTTAAAAAAGTTTAATAATACTTACCTAAACATGTTTAAATAAACTTTACTAATTACGAAGATTCGTGTACAGAAAAATAAACACATTGACAGTCATATTTGCTAATGCCTGAAAACAACGACGATGACACCTGATTGATAGGAAAGTTAAGGAAAGGAAAAAAAATAAATTGTACTATTAGTTTTCATTAAAGATTACGCTGAATTCAATGGTGAGTAATACGATAAACGTAGCTGTGAAAGAACGTACTGTACGTACTGTGCATTTTTATTGCACAGTACGTAGAGTAAATACATACAAAATGAAATAATTCGAAAATCTGTTGAAATTCGAAATTACACATCCGATAAATGTTGGTATACAAAGAATTCACTCTATTTATATAGGCTAAGCTATATTCTTGCATCTCAAGTTATTAGAACAGTTAATATTAAACTATTATTATTGGGAAGAAATTTGAAAAAATAGTAGACCTATAAATTTCTACTGTTGTTCGGTGTCTGTCAGTCTCTCTTTCTTCAATCTCTTGAAATTTATTAGACAAACGAAAACCGAGAAAAGATATAAAAGGATAAGGAGCTGCAGGTCCAGACTAACTATACAGAAACGTCTGCAACACATCGACAGTCACGTTATTTTAATTCAAAAATAATTTACTTCCTGAAAACAGTTAAATAGGTGACCGGCACCACTCTACTGTTAAAGGTGACCGGCACCACTCTACGTCAAATACAAAGTTTTATAATTTCAATGTTTAAATAGTTTTGTCTTCAGTCCAATATTTTCCGTTTTCTACAAAAAATTCTTCTAAGTCTCTCAAATTCTGATTAGTTTCAGACTCACCGAAATGAGACAATTCACCACCAAATTCTGCAGGAAGGTATTTTGGATCGATCTCTTTGTGGATATTTTTCGTTTTCTACAAAAAATTCTTCTAAGTCTCTCAACTTCATGCTGGATCCATGGAAACGAGACATTTCGTATTTCGAATAGCCAGGACTTAATAAAGATTTTAATCGTTATTAGCATTTACTGATTTTATAAAACTCTTCTCTACTATCATAATTAATCTTTTTGCCGATTTATATTAATTAATCCGTTCGGCTGTTTTTCCTCAATCTCATAAACTAGTTAGATATTGAAAGAGGAGACCCGATATGAAAACCATAGGTGCTAAAGACTCGATTAACTAAATAAGAATTTTCGCTGCATGCCAGAAGTTACGTGTTTTCAATTCAGAAATTTTTTACTGAAAGGTGTTAAATAGATGACAGGCAAGACACTATTGTTAACATAACAAAATATTGTATTTTAAAACAAAGATATGAGATCTGAATAGCCCCTGTGACTAATTCATAATTAAATTGAATTGTTAAAATTTTAGTGAAAAATATTCTTTAATTTTGGTGATAAATTTATGGTTTTCTAAATGAGGGAAACTGATAAAAAGTCACTTCCTGCAACAAAAGTTGAAACATCCTTTTGTTTAACCCTTATCTACTACAAATCTCAGCACCCTGAGAATTGATAACCCCTCGATATATCCACTTTTCCTCTGTCCACGTGAGAGAATCCGAAAAGATGATTGGAGAAAACTCATGAGAAATAAAGGGACTTTTTGCATGATTCGGAGAGTACGCCATGAAATTCCAGAGAAGGAAGACGTTTTCCATATTAGCTCTTTAAGGCCAACGCCCATATTAGACTTCCATGTTTCATTAAGTCAGTAAAAGAGAAGAAAAGATATAAAAATGGGCCAGGCAAGATCTACCTAGAAAGGACTGAAGCCTATCATTAAAGAACAGAAGAAGATAAAAAGTATTCAGAGGTAGTATGATTACTATAGATATTGTGAGCTCTCGCTCTCGAAATCGCTTAAGTTGCATATTCCATTATGTATAATTTTGTTTGTTTTTCTCATTAAATTTTTGCTTTATTGTTAGAGAGGTTTCGGCAGACGTTTTCAACGCGAAAACGTGTACGTCGGACGTTCAGCGCCGCTTTCCTATAAGCCTAGAAGTTTGACAATGGTGTTTGGATAGTCAGTGGAATCATGCTCGACGTCCCAAACACCATTGTCAAACTTCTAGGCCTTTAAAAAAGCGGCGCTGAACGTCCGACATACGCGTTTTCGCGTTGAAAACGTCGGCCGCAACCTCTTTACTGTTAAAGAAATGTCTTCTCGTGTCTGAATCAAAACGAAGGGTTTATCTCTTATATCACCTCTAAACGCTTGTTATGCGCGTACGATAAATTGCTTAACTGGTATCATTATCCAGACGTTGGATATAGACTTTGCCGTCTATATCCTCTGTAATATCAACAGCCCTTTTAGAAAAAAGTTCAGTGAGCCGATCTTATGATCGCGTGTCAAGTAAGCGACATAGATAAACTGTCTATGCCCTTGGCTACTCACAAAGATATGTATAAAAAAATGTATCTTACAACTGTTTGGGAGGTTCTAAATTTTGATCAAAAGTATAACATTCATTCTTTTAAAAATTGTATTTCTTCTAGATCATTTAGGAATAGAAATAATGCGAGACAAAATTTTAAATAATAAATAAAAGATAAATTCTACAATATCGGCTGAATGAATTCATGAAACAAGTAAAATAAACATGCCAATCATTTACAATTACTCTAAAAAGATAATACGATTTGCTGCAAAGTTTGTCACTATTAATTAATTAATTTATACAGTACGTATTAAAAACTAACTTAAATGCTTTGTGTTAATTAATATAAATGTATTACCCAGCAACATCTTTCATTTTATATTATATTTTCAACATAACGCATTCAAGTCAATTATAATTCTAAGTGCGGTTCATTACAACAAACAAAATTTTCTCATTTTAATCTTCAGTTATTTTCTCTTCGGTCCAATATTTTTCGTTTTCTACAAAAAATTCTTCCAAGTCTCTCAACTTCTGCTTAGTTTCAGACTCATCAAAAGGAGGCAATTCACCACCAAATTCTGCAGGAAGGTATTTTCGATCGATCTCTTTGTGGAGGTTTTCCATATTGGATCCATGGAAATAAAGCTGAAATAAATATACAGTTAAAAATTATGCATATGTATGATATCTCTGAAATTAATGAGACAATGTAACAATGTAATCTACACTGCTGGCCATTAAAATTTCTACACCAAGAAACAAATCAAATAGCAAAACCATGTTTATTATAAGAAAACAGTATTTAAGGAAAAAAGACATGATTAAATTGACAGAAAATCTTGAGGTATAGAGCACACAGCATATTGTATTTGTACCTTTCATGTAAATTTCGCGTATTTTGCGTGCCTACATCTTAGTTTAGCGATTTTAAATGCCAGAAGTGCACATAAAGAGATAAAATTATAATAAAATATAAGAAAATTAATTGATGATTTTAGTTTTGGTGTTATTAAAATTTTAAGAGTGATTTACTTTCTTGTATGATTATGTTATACAAATTAAAGCTGCATCTTCTCATTCAATATAATACGTATTGTAAATACATAAATAATTAAAAAAATTGATTATTCAATGCTCAAAGTTTATAAACTTCATATCTAATTGTGTACGTATCGTTTCTTTCAGCGTGAATATTTTTTAAAAGTACAAAATTTTAGTACAGTATGAACAAAATATACTTTACTTTTTTTCAGTTATACCTTTCACAGAAAAATAAGAATTATTTCAAGAATTTCTTACCCTTTGCTTTAATTTATAAGGAAGAAATGGATATGCCATTGCAACAATGGCACGAAGATACTTGTTAACATTAACGATGTGAACCCCTTTATAAATAAGCGGGGCACATTGCTGAAAAATCGAAGAGCATATAGTCATTATTAGCTTTTAAAATTTTAAAATATCTGAAAACAGTTTAAGTTTATATAATCTATTTTGAATCCTGTTATTATTACTAATTCAATCATTAACGACGATACTCACATAAAAGCATGCTATAATCAAGTAAAGTATTCTTGGACTAAATTGTATAGCATGTCTCCATGATATTGTTTTGGCGTCTATCAATATATAAACACCGTTTACTTGTATTGGATGGTCATTTAGTTCCATGTCTACAAGAAGTAATACGCATCTAACTAAATCTATTGGTTTCACTTTAGTTGCATCCCAATGGCCTGTGAATAAATAAGTTTGGTGTTGTGCATCACAGATTAGTAATAAAAATCAAGAAACAGTAAAAATGAACACTTACTGACTCTACCGAGTCCTATAACTTCACCTGTTTCTAATCGTTTGGAACACATCATACCCATTTGTAAGAATGTTTCCAATGCTGAAGGCCGAAGGTCTTTGAACACATCTGTATACTTCTTTCTTATTGCGTAATAATTCTTGAGTAGTTTCAATGCTCGTTCTCTGTCGTATTTTCTTGCTCGTAGAAAACTTAGGAGAAATATGTCGTCAGTTTTGCATTTCAGATCTTTTTCTTCTTTTGAAATATAAAAAAAAAAATTGTTAGTTTAAACGTGCTCAGCAGAAATAAAATACAAATTTACGATTACACCTATGTATTTGATAAAATGACATTTTTAAATTTTCAATTGGCGCAATATGCCTGAAAAGCAAACGTATCACATAGACCACAAATGACTTTAAAGTGACGGTTTTATCATTTCAATTTTATTGATTCTACAGTAATATGCGTTTCGGAGGTATACACTCACTCCTCTTCAGTTGGGTACAATATTACATAATATTTAGTTAACAGCTAAAATTCCAAATCTACAGCTTTAGTAAAATTTCACATCTTCACCTTTAATATAATTCCACATCCTTACATAATTATATATATATATATTAAACTTCTGTTATTTTTATTAATACCTGAACAGTTTTACAGTTTTTAAAGCATCGAAATGTTTTTCACTAATATTCAGTTCACTAACTCGCAGTAAGTATTTGATACAAATATAGATACATAAAATATGTAATAAGGAATATTTAGGGGAGACAGGGGCAAGATCGGCATGTTAAGCTTTACTTAAATTTTGTGTAATAAATACTGATGTAAACTGAAAAAAAAAGCTTTGCATATTGTCTATTGGAATGTTACCTTACTATAGAACTGGTTAAAATCAGTTTAGAAATAAACATAATTAAAATAATTACAACTTTACAAGAAGAGAGAAATTGACGAAGTTGCCCCGGGTATAGGGGCAAGATCGGCAACTTCTCTCTTTTTGTAAAGTTGTAATTATTTTTATTAAAGTTGCCCCTGGTATAGGGGCAAAAGTAATGGGGCAAGATAGGCACGTATATAAAATTATGTTATTAACAATGTATAAGTTGGAATTCACTATTAAAACAAAGAAATACAAATCCAACACCCATTTAATATTATTACAACGAAATGCAAGTTCAAAGACATATATACATGAATAACAAATGCAAACATGTTTTCATTTATCATCTGTTTGATTTTTATCCTTTGCTTCTAATGTGGCTTTATGTTGCCGATCTTACCCCGCTAGTCATGATTTCGAAACATTAAGTACAACCCTGAGAACAGAATGCCAAGCCACGATCTGGCCACGTGAATAAGTTGAAGTTACATCCTTCTAACAGGAAAAGTAACTTTCGTTATCATGGAATTATAACAAAACCTGCCAATTCAATATAAATGGAAAAAAAATATTATATGGAATTCAACGAAAATGAAAATTTGCTTGATAATTCAACTACGCTTGTTGGAGAACAATAAAAACACTACACTCAACAAGCCACCAATAAAGCTCAACTGCCTAACCTATAACCAAAGTCTTCTTTTAATTTGTTTTTAAAAAAAAGCGCTTGACAAACTTGCCCCGCATGCCGAAGTTGCCCCGGTTTCCCCTATATTAAATATTATTAAAAAGAGATTAAATAAAGACTTATTGTTAATTAAGTTTAAGCAATTTTTACAAGTTCTAGCTTTATTTTCGATGCTTTTACTTTTCGGCTCTGCTATACATAACAGAGAAAAGTATGACGATCGGTCAAAAATGTCTCCTTTACATTTTTACATTTTTGAACACAGGAGACCTTAAAACATCAAAAACTGCAAAAAACGATTCTTAAATCTTTTTTGCATTTCTCGATATTTCTATTCCTATCAGGCGGAGGTATGCCTAATCTGGGTGCAGAAACGGTCACTGTTTACCCCACTAGAAGTATGCCTACTCATTCAGTTTTTACTAAAGTTTTTCCCACGGAAATAATGCCAGTTCCATATGTTAGAACCAAGAAAAAATCGATAATAACAGAAGGAGCGAGAAAACAGCAATCCTAACAGATACAAGCAGCAACTGTTGGAACAACAAAAACAATCAACAGCAGTTTCGGCACTTCCAAGAAAACGGTCTTTGTTTACCGAAAGAAATTCCGTAAAATCAAAAGTTACATTCATCAGCAAAAGTTGGCCTAACGAGAAACGAAAGACAAATGACACAGAATGCTACTATTGTGGAGGTTATAGTCTGCATCTACAGAGAGTTAAGCTAAATTTAGCCGTTGTAATAAATGGACACACTGTTCTTGTGCCAATATTGAAGAAAACGACAGTTTAACCATTTTAATTTGTCTTTTTTGTGTATAAAAAGAATATTCCCCATCTTACTCCATTGGTGGAGCAAGATGGCGCATTTACATGTAATTTTAAAATATTAAATTATGTTGTTTTTAAAAACGTTTTTCAAAAATTAAATTTTGTATCATATATTATTAAATGTAGTTGCTGAGAATAAAAAATTGTCGTTCTCATCAAAGTGGTTACCGTCTTATGACTTTCAAGGCTTAAAGTTCTCATCTTGTCTCATTTTCCCCTATAATAAAACATGAACAAAAAAGCTAAATATTAATAAAGTATAGGAAGAAGGTGGTATTATGGAACCCTGCAGGTATTATGGAACCCCTCCATTTCAAACTGATAATAAAGACGAACTGTAGCGGATTGTGGCTGAACTGCACTAGGCAGACATCCATAGCAAGGGGAAAATCCGTTTCACTTCAGTAAAACGGTTGTCCGTAGTGAATTAGTATACTGTATTTGTATTTTTCAAAATTCGAAAGTTTTGAATGCTAAGTGAATTTAATTATTTTTAAAATATAAATCGCGTAGTTGTAGGTTCACTGGTGCATGTATTCCGTTCCAGAGACTTAGGGGTACATATTAATCTGTGTGGTGTTCACGTTTTTTAAATTTTGGTCTCGACAGACATAAGTTAATTCGAGATGGCGATGCGTGAAATATGGACCTCATTGGTGCTTTTAATACGGAACCCGTCTAACTTTTGTAAAAGTATGTGGTAGATGAATGAAAAATTAGAAGGAAAATGAAAAAAGTAAAAATAGATACCTAACACTATAGGAGCTTTATATTTGCGAGTGTTGTAAATGTGTGAGATCCGAAAGGCCCTGGGTCTAATTTGTGAATTTTTATTAATATGTTTAAATTATCGACAAAATATTATTCCATTTTGTGTGAAAAAACTAGTGTTTTAGACGTGGGAAAAATTGATGACAAATGTTATTTCCTTTCATCGAGGAGAACATCCGCTGTTTTTCCCATATCTGGTTAAAAATCTCGCTCCGATGGGAAATGGTTACCCCTCATTCATCCCCCTTTCATCCGTTCTCACGAAAGAGTTACTGAACGATGATTGGACGAAATTTTGAAATAAAAGGAGAAATTAGTCAGAATTCGAGGAGTTCTCCGACCGATCCGAAAGCGGGCAGACTCCATACAATTCTTCTCCGGAGTTCAGCGAGAGTTCTTCGACAGATCCGAAGCATACAAACTCCACATACGTTTCCTCCCGATGGCCAACGCCCATAACGGAGTCCGATAGACTAAGTCCTGAGTCTACACTTAGAAGAAGCGATATTTTTATAATTTGTGCACGAATTGATCTCCCATACGAAGTAACATGAACTCTATCTACATGGTGTCCTTTACCTACAGAAACGAAGACGACGACAACTAACAGGTCGTATATTTAGAATCATTTGTGAGCTCTCTCTCTCGAACGCGCATTAGCTTAAATTAAGCCGTAGCCTATAGCTTGTCGATTTATCGTTGTATTTGGTTATTTGTATTCGTTTGTTTGAGATTTATTAAATTTACTTTTGTTAATTATACTAAAAATGTCTCTTAATTTGGTGTTCGAATCAGATCGCATACGCGTGTTTGTCCGCGTGTAAAATAACCGACAAACTGGTGTCAAGGAAATCCTGACGAATATCTGAACTTCGCCGTTCAGATCATCTTTAAATACGCTCTCCTATGAAATAGATTAGGATCGGATCTTACGATTCGAAACCTTGGAGAACTAGTTTTACTAACTAGGTGCCGATTAAGCGTTACTTGAGTACTACTTACTCCGTAACCCCGGCTGATCTCACATGTGGTTTTCAGGAGTGGGGTTTAGAACTTAAAAAAATCCGTAGAAAGATCACACATGTGGTGTAGCAGGAGTGGGGTTCAGAACTTAAAACCCGTAGAAAAATCTCACATCTGGTGTAGCAAGAGTGTGGTCTCGAGCTTAAGAAAACCCCGTAATAGATTTCACAACTGGTGTAGCAGGAGTAACCTCTCACAAACGGATCTGATTCGGATTGAGAGACAACTAGTTGATAAGTTAGAAATAAGTAAAATTAAATATGGCCGAGGAGAATCCTAGAGGTGCTGTCTTGGGAGCCATGAGTGGCTTTGTCTCTTTATTGCCTGCTTTTTCAGGTGAAACAGGGCAAAACATTAAGGAATTTTTCGAGTCATTGGAGGACGTAGGGAAGTTGGCCTCATGGACCAAGAGTCAGTTATTAACAGTGGCTAGATTAAAATTAACGGGATTAGCACAACAGTTTAGCCGTAGGTATAGACGAATTAAAGATGTCGAAAAATACGAAAATTTTAAGCAAATACTGATCGATAGATTTGAGCGCATCCCTACTTCCATTAGATTACAACGATTCTATGCTTGTGTTCAGAATCGCGACGAAGATGTACAAACATACGCGGTCCGGTTGCAAACTTTGGCCGAAGAATTAGAAATAGAAATAGAAGGAAAGAATGCTACAGAAGTAGCTCTAATAAAGAAGATAAAGGCCAAAGAATTGGATGAGCGATTAAAAGTTCAATTTTTAGTAGGCATAAATATCCACATAAGACAGAGAGTTATGTCCCGAGAGCCTGAAACATTCGATCACGCATTAGAAATAGCGATTAAGGAAGAGGAGATTGAAGCCCTTACAAAAGGACGCAATCATAGTGATATAGTTCGGGTAGTGAAAGAAGAGAAATCAGAAAATACACGTACTTATGAAATACAAGAAATACAAGAGAAAATAGAAGAATTGATAAACCAATTAAACATTTTAAAAGGAAAGGATAGATATAATCAATCTGAAAGAGAAGCGCACTTCCGTAAAGACGCGGACATGAAAAAGCGAGAT